AGAGAGAGAGAGAGAGAGAGAGAGAGAGAGAGAGAGAGAGAGAGAGAGAGAGAGAGAGAGAGACTTCCTTTAAACATACCGGTTCCATTTGGTGTTTCCGATGTCCCTCCCCTGCTTCTGCTAGAAATGGAAAGATGCATTGCCATATCTTAGATTTTCATTCCATAGCGGAGAGTTGTGGCTCGGAACAACGAGAGGGGGGAGGCTGGAAACAAGGGGAGGTTCAGAACGACTAGAGGAGAGGTTCAAAACAAGGGGAGGTTCTTAACAGCGAGACGGGGGAGGTTCAGAACAAGGGGAGGTTCTGAACAGCGAGAGTGGGGAGGTTCAGAACGAGGGGAGGGAGGTTCGGAACGGGAAGAAGGCTTAGGGTTTAAACTTCAAATCTTTTTTATTCCATTGTGATTTTGTGAACGAAGATTGGTGGGCTCGTTTTGGATCTTTATGATTCATTTGCAAAGTCTTGACAACGTCATGGACGTCTTCACGTTTGCACGTTTGAAATCTTCGGAATATGGGAGGGAGGTTCGGAAGAAGGGGTAAGGAGGTTCGAAAGAAGGGGTAAGGAGGCTCGAAAAAAGAAGGGGAGGGAGGTTTGGAAGGAGAGAGGTCCGAAAGAACGGGGACGTCCGAAAGAGAATCATGGTTCGTTTTCGAAACTTTTCATTCGTTTGCAAACTTTTTATAAGAATATGTAGTTGTTCACCTTTGAAACTTCAATTCCTTCGGAACTTCGGATTCGTTCATTCCTTCGCTTTCAGAATCTTGGTTCATTTTACGTTCATTCCTTTGCTTTCAGAATCGTGGTTCATTTTCGTACATTTGCAAAGTTTAGAGCACGTTATGTACTTCTTTAGGTTTGGATGTTTGGACTATTCGAAACGTGGAGGAGGTACATTCAGAAAAATATAAGGGAGGTTGGGAAGAAGGGGGAGGAAGGTCAGGAAGAAGGGGGAGGAAGGTCAGGAAGAAGGGGGAGGGAGATTCAAAACATGGTGGAAGGAGGGTCGTCAACAAGGGGGAGGGAGGTTCGAAAGAAGCGGGAGGACGATCGCCAACCAGAAGGAGGGAGGTTCGAAAGAAGCGGGAGGGGGCGGGAGGTGCGAAAGAAGGGGGAGGGAGGTTCGAAAGAAGCGGGAGGAGGGTCGCCAACAAGCGGGAGGGAGGTTCGCAAGAAGCGGGTGGGAGGTTCGAAAGAAGCAGGAGGAGGGTCGCCAACAAGGGGGAGGGAGGTTCGGAAGAAGCGGAAGGGAGGGTGGCAAGTAGCGGGAGGGAGGTGCGAAAGAAGGCGGAGGGAGGTTCGAAAGACGCGGGAGGAGGATCGCCAACAAGGGGGAGGGAGGTTCGAAAGAAGCGGGAGGGAAATTAAGAAGTGGGAGGGAGGGTGGCACGTAGAGGGAGGGAGGTGCGGAAGAAGGGGGAGGGAGGTTAGGAAGAAGTGGGAGGAGGGTCGCCAACAAGGGGGAGGGAGGTTCGAAAGAAGCGAGAGGGAGGTTCGAAAGAAG